AGTCAAGAATTCTGGAGGACTCAAAGTTGTTCAGTCCTGAATGAAAAGAATGACCAGTGTCAAAGCTGTTATAGCTATGATCATAAACACAGACTTGCTGCTAATACCAAATGTAAAAGATTATCTGAGCCTGCCCACCTATTTGCACCTGTTTCAAAGACAGCTCCTGAAAGGATCAAGCTAAGATTACAGTCAGAGAGACTTAAATGTGCAGAACTCGAAAGACAACTGCATGACATGAGATCAGAACTTGAGAAATCAAGTGTTAAAGTTGACGATGAACTGAGCAAAGACTTGACTACCATTCTGGGTAATCATGAAAATGTTACTCCATTCATGAACCTTTTCTGGCAGGAACAGAAGAAACTGTTAGCAAGCAAATCAACTGGGGTGAGATACCACCCTATGATAATTCGGTATTGTTTATCTCTTGCTGCTAAATCTCCTTCTTGCTATGAAGAGTTACGCAAGAGTAACATACTGAAATTGCCAAGCCAAAGAACTCTAAGAGACTATAGAAATTGCATTCGTCCACGCACTGGTTTCCATGAGGACATTATCGAAGAACTAAATGTTCAGTCAAATAGCTATTTTGACGTCCAGAGATATGTTGTCCTTCTATTTGACGAGATGAAGGTAACATCAAATCTTGTCTTTGATAAGGTTACTGGTGAATTGATAGGCTATGTTGATCTTGGAGATCCAGATATCAATTTTGCTACACTGGAGAAAGCAGATGATCTAGCAAGCCATGCTCTGGTTTTCATGGTTAGAGGTGTTTGTACTGAGCTCAAATTCAGTTTAGCTTATTTTGCGACTGATGGTATTACGTCACACCAGCTCATGCCACTGTTTTAGGAGGCTGTTGGTGTACTAGAGCTGTCCTGTAATCTGTGGGTTATCGCTGCCACCTCAGATGGGGCCTCACCCAACAGGCGATTCTTCAGAATGCACAAAGATATGGATGGAAATGCCAATGGTGACGTGTGTTACCGAACCATCAATGTGTATGCTCCACACCGCTACATCTATTTCTTTTCTGACGCCCCTCATCTTATCAAGACAACCCGAAACTGCCTTTACAGTTCTGGCCATGGATCCTGTACTCGGTAAATATATTTGTTTGAAATTACAGACACTTTATGTAAAAAATACATCAAATTCTTTACAGCTGTATGTGTATTATCTGTAAAATATTAATTCAAAAACCTTGTTACTGATACAATTTTTTTCACAGGCTTGATACATTAAATATATATATATATATATTGTTGGAAAATAATTCAATGTATTAATAATCATTATATTTTAGGTACATGTGGAATGATGGCCAGTTCATTCTTTGGCAACACATAGCTCACTTATTTTACCAAGATGTTGAGAATGGATTGAAGTTGCTGCCAAGAATTACATATGACCACATCAAGTTGAACCCCTACTCTAGAATGAGGGTTAATCTTGCAGCCCAAGTACTGAGTGCGTCTGTGGAAGCAGTGTTAAAGGCCTTCGGCACTCCTGATATGCAAGGAACATCCAAGTTGTGTGGCATGATCGATTCTTTTTTTGATTGCCTCAATGTTAGAAGCACAACTGAGCATGCCAGAAAGAGGAAAGACTTCCTTGCACCCTACACCACATTAGATGATGAAAGATTTACCTGGTTGGAGACAGATTTCCTTGGATACCTAAGGGATTGGAAAGCAAGCATACTCAACCGTCCTGGAGAGTTTACAAAGAATGCACAGAGCCGCATGTTTATTTCTTGGCAGACCTATGAAGGTTTACAGATGACGACTCACTCAGCTGTAGAAGCGACAAAGTTCCTCCTTGGTGAAGGCATGTCTTATGTACTAACAGAAAGGTTTTGTCAGGACTCTGTGGAAGAGTACTTTGGTAATCAGAGGAAGTTGGGACGAAGGAGTGATAATCCTGACATAAGGACATTCGGTTATAACAACAATACCATCATGGTGCAACGAGCTGTCTCCTGCCAATCTGGTAACACAAGAGGAAGAAGAGACAGGGACAGAGCATGGGTCAACATTACTGATGACCCAGTTCCAAAGAAAAAGAGAAAAGTGTAAATAAAATATCTCATTGTACATAGAAATGAAAATTACAGTAATTTGTATTTTTGTATAATAGCATATAATCCTTACTAACATTAGATATAATCCCTCACATTTGATGGCTATAGGTATTCATGGAGCTGTTAAGAGTGCATTCATTATGTCTCTGAAATAGTCTGCAAACTTGATTTAAAAAAAAACTAAATAATATGAAAACAATTTTTAGAGTGGTTTTTCTAAGACTGAAATAGTTACTAAACTAAAGATGTGTTGGAAGATAACTATTTGTAGGAATAACTATTAGTAATTATTTCACAGTCAAAAACCATTCAGGGATATAGAATAAAATATTTCAGGGGTATAATAGATGATGCACTCTATTCTCCAGATATCAATGACATTGTATATTGTCATCATTGTATATGGGGGCTTATTGAAACATTTTCATTACTAACTTGAAATTAAATTTGAATAGTCATGACTCAGTAGTCATAGTCAAGCATGAATTTATAAGTAATATGCTATTTCATGCCATTGTACTTATGGCATGAATTTATTTCGAGTGATTTTCATATTATTATTAAGTCAATTGTGAGATAATCAGTGTTTACTCACTTTATGGTTCTCTGAAATGGAGGTTTTGTGTATTGATAGGATGCACAATTTGTTTTGATTCATGATATATTTGCTATTTAATTCTAGTTATAGAAACCATTGTTGATTATCATGTTTTACACAAGAAAGACAAACGAAGTATGCAGTTTAAATAATATTTTGTATTTATTTATATCAACTGTAACAATATAATGACATTGAATTTTAGAAATAAATTACTTGACATTGCATCTCTAAGACTGCCTTTCCTGACTTTCATGTTCTGCACTGGCTCTATATATCTCTTTTCGCAGTGCTTTTGCCTTCATTTGTTTACATTTAATTTTATGTCTTTGAATGACATCCTTCGCTAATGAAAAACAGCGAACAGTTACATATAAATGAACAATGCTATGCAAAACATCTTTAGCAATACTGTTACAGTTATTAACAATTAGTTCAGAATCCAATAACATTGTATTATAAGCTGATACAAGGTGCTGATCACAAACTGATYTGGATTGAATTGTAGAAATATTTATATTGTGAGGACTACCAGATGTTACAATTCTAAAATGATATTCTATTCTTTCAAAAATTGCTTGTGCATGCTTAGTGATGGCCCAAAGTCCACCTCGACTTAAAGATGAAATAAGTTTTTGACTTTCAACATCATGATTCTCTATTGCTTTACCAGCCTTAAGTATTGAAGATATTTGTTCACTTTGTGGTGACTTGTTACTATGAATCTTGTTATATAGCTTATGAAGTACATAGCCTCCAAGATACTGCAAACCAGACTTTTCTTTYGCGCACAATTCATTARGAGGTTCTGGAGTAGTTGGTTCAGCTTTCTGTTTGCTTTTGACGACCATGCAGTCAGCCACTTTGGTGCTCAGCAATGTTGCAGCATTTCGAGACAGGCCATCAAATGTCTTCGTTGAATTCAACACTATGCTTGAATAAAAKTTCGAGTAGAATTTTTCTACATTTCCAGACTTAATCAAACATTCATACATGCTCTTTATTTTGATAAAGTCTGTCTCTATATTCCTCTGTGAGAAAGTATAGCATCTCAGCTCGTCTCTAACGCTTTGCGGGTAGATTTTTCTCTCAAGGATCTTTTCTCATGCTTTCATGCATATAGTGATTGGAAGTCGTCGACAGTGAAATCGGGATTTTGATCTCCCTCTTGTTCTTTCTTGTGCTTAACTGTCCTGTGCCTTTTTAAACCAGCCTTGCTTTTGCACTTCTTTTGGCAAAGATCGCAAACGATACCATCTTCATTTTGAACCTGAAATTASAYGCGACGTTCAGTGAGAATACAAACAACAGCGTTGCTATGATCGTAAAATACATCATTTCTGTAAGAAATAAAGCATTCCATCAGCTTCTTCMACACTTACATTATCAACTGCTTCAGTAAATTGTTCTTCAAGCTCTTCTTCGTTTTCTAAAATGTCTAAAACGGCATCAAAATCTTCTCCAAAGAGAAATAACTCGCTAATGTCCKCCATATTGTTTTGACTCTGTGCAGGGTCATTGTCACGTGACGGTACTATTCAACCTCAAAAGCGAAACAATAGAGGGCTCCTTTGAAGTTCGCCGGGTTTCCTAACCATCTCCCTCTATTAACTATGATATGATACGACACTTACAGTACAGTAAAAACCTGCATAAAAGAACCACTTTAAGTGGCTCTTATGTAATTTGTGTTTAGTGAGAAATTTGGCTATGTTGTTTCTTAATTTGTTCTTATATACAAAGTAAAATGANACAATGTCATGTTCAATCTTTACATCAACAGAATGTATGACTTTTGCTGCGTTGGATTTCAGAACAGACAAAATTGCGTCCAGAAGCAAAGAAGCCACTTTCTGTATCCTTTCCGGGCAAACTGATGGGTTATTGTGGTTCCTTTCATTCAAAGAAATCAGACATTAATCAAATAGACTCTGTAATTTTCGAAAGAATTTGTATCCTTAATAAGCTATTAAAGTTAAGCTTACCTTATTAAATGTTTGTTTAAATGTTCGGATGGTTCCCACGAACATGCCCAGAGCGTCCAATACTCCCACTTCACAAGGTATTCAAAACCCTAAATGAATTAGAAACAGTAAATAAATGCCTTAATATTGAACCAGTTGTTTAATAACTGTTTAAGGATGTCACGCGATCATAATTACTTACCTTCTTGTTCGATGTCCGCCTGCTAATAATTCTCTCAACTTGGTAAATCTTTGATCCTTTCTTGTACTTTTTTCTACTCAAAAATTTTGGCTCATTGTCCACTGCGAGAACGCTCCATTGCCATGTTTGTTATGTGAAATTGACACCACTGGGCCTACTCACTGGACCTTAATGAAACTGCAGATCAAATATAACGCGGGAGCAAAATGTCTCTCATTTCTGCTAATGGGTTTCAGACCAAATAAAATTAGATTTTCTTTTACATACTTTAAAATAGTTGTCGTGCCACGAAGAGTTGTTGTTATTGTTAGCTACGTTTATTTCGGCATTCTGTTGTCAAGTTTTAAATAACTTCAGTAGTTCAACCAACGATAAAACAGAAGCAGTAAAGTAGCTTTGAAAAGCAAATGCATTCTTTCAATGCGCTTATTAAGCTTGCAATCGCCGTGCAAAACATCAAATATTATGCCGATATGCCACGCAAATCGACTGCATTATGTTTGAATGTAGCYGCAGTTCTAGTCTTTTAGCTGTTTTGCAGATTATAAAAACAAAAGATTTAGAGTGTTGACCATAAACAAAACCTCAACAATTTGCTCAATAACTATTTTAGATATGTCCACGCAAAAAACGGCAAAAATTAATAGCGCTCCGCACAGTTACTAAAAATAGATACATTAATATGCGACCCCCTATGGACTCAGACATTGAACCCAAACACGCCATACACACCAAAAAACCACTGATCTCATCGAGAAATATCTTCAATTATATTCGTACTAGAAGCTTTTAAACATAACGATTATGTCGAGTAAGCACTACTGCTTCATTGGACCATGGAATATCATCTGTAAATGCCCTGAATGTCTCGCAGATCCGCCTATCGTCTTGGGACTTATGCCCGCTACCTGACCTATGTTACGGTAGTATAAAATGTGTTTTATATAAATTTTTGCCAGAACAACTACTCTAGAAGTATTTGGAGATAATCGAAATCGGCTGCTTTAGTTGTTAGGAGCAAAGTAAACTTCATTAAAACGCATTTGATTCCATCGAATCTTGGAGGATCATGGCGTTGTGTGTGATCTTTATGTCAAACTTGAAAACTCAATTGACTAGTATTATGCGAATAAAAAATAAATTCTAAAGAAATATCAACTCAAGCTAATTCGTATATACATAATGGTTTCCTATTAGTTTAATCACAAGTTTTGGGCCAGTTTAACGGCCCGCTTTTGCTTTACTTTTGCTCACATTTACTTTATATTATATAATTTTCTGCTTCTTTGAATACTCTATTTCTTGACTTTGTTTGATTTAGATTCCTAAATGAGATGCCTATTGCTCAAAAAGTCTTTAAAATGCTATTTTTCTGACGATATAGCTTCAATTTTAAGATTTGGAGCCCTAAATAATTCGAGATTAGGGTGAGATAAGGGGCCRTGAAACATCGTTTTATTCACTCGAATTTGGAATTCTTTACAAGTTTATCAAAGTTAAGAGCCCTACACGTTATAATCTTAAGTCAGAATAGAAATTCGTTGCGTTTAACTACCCATTATCGATGACTAAAGATGGCGAATTTACCAAGGATTAGTATGCAGCATTGTAAAGTTTGTCTGAGTTCTCGACGGGGTGCAAAATGTGTGACGTCATCTGTGCGGAGCGCTATTGAAACAAGCAAGATTGTCGAGCAAATCGGATTATTTTCTGCTTCAACAAACATTGCTGTAAATAGAGTATGCAAATTTGTGTGACTTTGCGGATGACTGGCTGGTTGTCAAGCAAGGTCAGTCCATCGCTATGGGTCGATTTTGCTCTTTTCTGAGCAAAATCATGAGAAATAAATAACAAAAATTACTATTTTTTGACCAGAGGAGGCAGGACACTCCTCCGAAAAGGATATGGTGCAGAAACCAGCCAATCACAAAGCCACTTTTAACTTTGCGCGACATGAGATTTCGGCAAAGAAAAGGTCAGACCAAGACAAAAAAACAGCCGATTTTTGAGACTATTCAATAGATTTTTTTCTTGAAACTSTTGGAGCTCGAAGTACATAAACATAGGTTGAACATATTGAAAAATTACAACCAAAGAAGGAAAATATCAACTAAAACGAGCCCTTTGAATCACAATACGCGCTATTTACTCGAAGATCGCTTTCAAGTAGGAATGTTTAAGGCATGAGAACTTATATGTTTTTAAAGATTTAATGGCAGATAATCAAATGTATAGAAAGATGAAAGAATAAACTTTGATTTAAAGCAGGCGGCCCACCCCGACCCACCAATAGTTTGTGAGATATAAGCATTTCAAAATGGTACAAAATCGTCATTCTATGGTTGTAATCTGATTCTTGVCATGAATGTTAACCCCCAACTACAAACACTGAGGTCAACAGATCACCATAGCTACTGTGCTGAGATCAATTAAAATTTTTTTTTTTCATACTCAAATTTTAGAGCTAACTAGACCCTGTATGCAGGGTTGACACGTACCCTTTGTTGTGCATGATGTTGTGAGATCATTAGTAAACTAGACCCTGTATGCAGGGTTGACACGTACCCTTTGTTGTGCATGATGTTGTGAGATCATTAGTAAATGAGGCCTTATTAAAACCTTACTGATACAGAATAAAGAAATGATTTGATCCATCGAGCCTTGCCAAAATATATGTGATTTTTGCGATAAGCTTATATGTGGTGGCTCTTAAAATTTCAGCTGTAACTGCCTTTGTGATTCTGCAGTATAATTTTAAGGTCAGATATACCCGGAGATATATAACTAGGCATGATTTGGTTACAACGTGACGCTTTATTAACTTTTGATATGATAGTAACACAATATTTTTGCACATCTACATTAAAACTCGACATATCTAATGCAGATCTTTGAATAGCCATGGAATTAATAAGCATTTTCTAAAGAGTTGTATTGATATTCAATCATTGGAACCCAATCACTATATCGTTGCCGTTGCTTCACGAGTAGTAAGCGTGTTGATCTCTGTAGTGAGATCTCCTCGTCATCACAATTCAACATACCCTTGGTCCGAACACCCAGACAAGTAATGAGTTCCAGATTTTGGTCGTAAACCTTCATGTTCTGTTCCATATTCGTTAGTAGAGACAATATTCATCAAAATGGCTGATAAAACATTGTACAGAACGAGTTGGAAATGTTGCAAACGGGATTATCGACAGGCTATAGCGTTCGGAATACACAACGTAATGTGATTGGCTACCGGATATATAATTCACAATGTGATTGGCTACGAAGATGTACCGAAGCCAAACTTTCGACATTGTGAAAAAAGAAAAACCAAGAAAGTGTCAGCATTTTACTACACGTACCCCCTGCATAGCAGGGTACGTGTAATAAAAGCAAAAAAGTTGTAAAATGTATTTTAAATTGTTTTCCTTTTATAGTGCAATAATATAAACAAAACGTATCTGTTTTATATTTGATTGTCACTTTTAGTAACCGAAGCGTTTCAATTATCATCTGGCAACATTTTCTAGATTTTCCAGAGAATTTCATTGCAAAGTTAATTGAAATTTCTTTATTCAAGTTTTAAAGTCTACAAAGTCATCAGCAATAAGAAAAGAATCAAYTAATATRATCCTTGGTGAAATAAAGCRTTCATTTACAGTACAGACTTAGATGTTGTCACTCTAACTGTCAAGCTCAAATGAATTAATATTTACATCCGGACCATAATCCTTTTCGTCGGAGTGGCCAACCTCTGGCTCTGTATTTGGACCATTAGTACATGATTGATGTTTTTATGMAATTTTTCGAAAATTTCACACAAAAAAACCGAAAAAGTCACTTTGGCAGTTTGGTCCTTCATTTAATGTTTGTACTCTATTAGTCATATCTTCTTCTATAAGGTTAGTAACATTATTTGATAATTTCTTGGGGGTCTATAAAGTGATAACCTTCTTCTATAGGGATTATACCAATTCTTTTTTATTTCTAAGGGGGTGGTATCGAAAAATAGTCTTCGAGAGGGGGGTGTGGATAGTAAATGGAAAGGCCCTTTGCAATATGCAACCGCTAGTTCATAAAATATATATAACTCTTAACCTTAAGATGATATATGGGTCAAATATATAGTTGTAATACAACATTATTTAAATCAATTCAAACAAGGCACATATGCATTTCGAGCCTCCTTTTCAAAATGCTGTCGAACTAGCGACGCGACGGCGTGGCTCTCAATAAACATTTGCTTTTCCTCGGAATGTTAAGGCATTTCGAAGTCAAGAACACAATKTTAGACCGCTTAGAAACTTCTACGTTTCCGTAAGCTGCATTTTAAACAACAATCATTCATACCAATAATCTTTGATTAGCCAAAGACAAAAAATAATAATYTTACTACCAAATCAAGTAAGGTTGAGCCAACACGACATTCGTCGTGTCTCGAATATGAACCAGTTGTTCTTTTATTCATGACTTTAACTTTCAAGTTCAGAGCTGCAATAATTTTACATACCTGAATGATGAACTAAACACCATTTCCATGTGGTTTTGAGACATAAAATTCCTGCTCTAATTCTCTCCATTAGTATAACGCCACCACGTACCGCCTCCTCCACGAARCATGCTGTCAACTTACTAAAGCCTTTGCGCATGACACAAATCAAACCTTTGGATGACGTCATTCAGCGTTTCGGGGGCCTTTCAGGGACCGGGACACAGGCAGACCGTCTGTCAGTTTGACGGAGTGTTACTCTTTTTCCTCACGATTCTTCACTTGATTGCTTTTTTTTTTACTTTGAATTTTTCACTTTGATGTACGGTTTAAAGAAAACCAGTCCTGCRTATAGGAGACTGTGTCAACTACGATGCATCGTTCACCTTACAATCAACTTTTTTACTGATAACTATGACGAGGACTCAAGCGATCAAAAAAATATCCATAAATTGATCATGTAACACAAAAGATAATCAACTCTTAATATAATGAATTGCGTATACGGTACATGACGTAAAAGCCGCTGCAGAGGTTTATTGTCGTCCAAATGACCCGAAACTTTACACGAAGAACAAGGACAATAAGTAGAGTACAAACATTAAATGTGTGCAGCACTTTCCACTATTTACTACAAAATAGTGTTAATGAGTGTTAATTAAACAATATAAAATAATAGAATTAGCATAATTTAGCACTAATTAGTGGTATTTATGTTGCACAGTTTTAGTGTTTGTACTCTAGGATGTTTTTTTTTTATTTTTTTTTTTTATTTTTCATCAAATTTCAGCAAAAAGCGCTATAATTGTAGAGCTTGGGCTACCTGTGACTGATCAGGCAGAAATTTTCACGCACTTTAATTTGTCTCGTTGACTCAGAGCCGTTTCGGTTTTGACTCAAGATCCCAAGTAATGGGATTTTATCAGTTAAAAATGTCGATTTGGAGGAGATTTGGTGGTCATTAAGAAAAAAAAATAACTGCATTTAGAGGTCATAGAGGCAGTTTATATCTATGGTGATATGCACGAAATAACTTTAATTTTTCGAAGTGTTTAACTTACGGCTGTCGAGGTACACAAAAMATTCAGTCGACTCGTCACTTTAGCAAAGACTATAAAATTTGAATTGACTATTCTTTTSTTCTGACAGAAAAGATGAATACTTACTCTTTTAAAATGCAAATAAATCCAATTATTTTATAGCTCGGATGTAACACACGATTTCACACAGGGAGCCCAAGCAGTGACTTTGAACCTATAATGGTTAAAAATAAAATTTTACTTAAAAAAAATGGTCTACTTTTATTTTATTCAGTGTCACAATGCATTATAGATGGGTTTAAAAAAATTTCCCCTCCATGTATATATAGAGTCAAAAATGAATCCAAATTTTGCCATCGAGGTTTCTCAGGCTTTTCTTTTTTCCTACTATTTTGAATGACAAGAAAAGTACGAACAAAAACGTACTTTTATGTCCGATTCTCTATTAATTTTACTATTTTTCCTTGAAAATGCTATATAATAAATATCTTATTAACCTCGCTTGCTCGAGGCGTACGGGAAGTTATGGACCGAGTTTTTCCGACTTACATATTCGAACCAAATACACTACGACGTACAAAGAAAAACTTGAAAGTCTAATTGGACCACTTTTTCTGCTTGTTTTCTCGATTGACTGGACGGCAACAATTAGAACACTAAACTGGCTTCGATCGTTTCCGCTATGTACGCTCAAAAAGTTTGAAATGACAGAATGGCACTGGTTTTTTTTTTGGCAAAAAATGGGCTATTTCTACTTCTTAATATGGGATTCAAGAAAAATTCGAAAAAACGATATAGCACGAGTCGCTTACGATATCGTTTTTTCGAGTGAAATTCATTGCGGTATTCCTCGTCATTCAATTAATTTTCCTATAAAATAATATCGTGACTATTCAAATCCACCGTCTGTGAGAACAAGTCAAAATAAAAACAAATTTGAATGATTTGACGTCATAGTGCGTCAGAGTAGTAGAGGGGAACCATGCTCCCCTCTGACTGAACAGAATAAGTAGCTAGACATTATGTAAAACTCTTTTTAGATAGAACKAAAATAATGAACGATCTAAATCATTTCAGAAACTTTTATTAGTTATACAAAAKGCAAAAGAATATTTTTATCACTAAGGAAAGCATGCTCAACTTCTCTATTCAGAATTAATGCCAGAGTTAGTAGAGGAGATCAACTCTGATAATACAGASAGATCTAGAAACAGCAATTACGTCCCTATATGGGCACAAAAGCATGATACAATCACGTGACCTATTGTTCTGGCCTGTTCTGTTCACGTAAATATCATTGTCCTAATTGTCTTGGTCGATTTCACCTATTGTTAGATTTACGCTGCCGTGGTAACGTCACAGTGTGACCGGTTAAAGGATGAAGTGAATATTATACGGTGTTATCTACAGATGATTCTTATGTTTACTTAGAAGCACAAATATGGGAACTGGGAGCAGCAAAGTCGTGATAAAACGAGTGGCAAAAGTCGATTATAGCGCTGTCAACGCGGCGCTTTCAGATGAAAAGGACGATACGAAYGATGTAAACAAACAACTCGAACAGAATGCGAACATCGAGGCTCAAAAAGATCCAAAAGAGATATCAGAGAATGACTCAAACCAAAAAAGAAATGAAATCATTTCATCGCCTCAACCAGAAGAACCTCAGACGATCGAAGTGAAACCAGTTTCAAAAACGCTCAATGCAACTAAGGAAAAACTAAAGACGAAAGGTTTCACTGATGAAGTGCTAGCGACACATTGYGACGAATCACCGGCTCATTTCGACGATTTTGTAAAGTTGTATGAACATGTTCAAAAGATTAAAAAGAATATTCAGGATGATGATTTTGTTTCTTTGACAACAACCTCCGTTAAAAAGATCTCATCATTATACGAAAAAGAAAGATCAGAGAAAATTAAGAAAGGGAATATGTTGGCCGAAATCGGTTTTCCTGAAGTCTTCAGAGATCTTTATGACAAGCTTATCGCTACATTCCCGAAACTACTAACATATGACAGAGAAGAAGACGAGGTTAGTAGCATTCAGATTGATTGATTTATAACGTGGAAAGCTAAGTATCGTAGCAAAATATTAATCAATTAAATGTTTCAATTACAGAGATTGTTACGTGTTTTTATGCCGGGTTAACTTTCATTAACAATATATCATGATATATTGCAATCTTCGAAACAAAACTTCGAAGTTTATTAATGATTCACTTATTTAATTATAAAAAAGTTAACATACTTCAAACTTCTAATATTTGGTACTTGAGCCAATATTTTGATTATCATGCAGCTGATAACAACCAGTAAGCCGACGTCCGAGAGCAAATATTTACATTGACTAACAACTAAGTGGGCTATTTGATTTGTTACTGAAGTACTATCTATTCTTCATATATACCATATGATGATGGCATCTAATGAAGCCAAAATAGTCAAAACATAGCTGCAAAATTTGATTTTTGTTGTATAATACAATGGATTTATATATATTTGTATTTCTTGTACATGTATCTACATAAACATTTTTGTTTTTGTTAACAACCTTTTTCAACCATCATTGATGTTTTCAGATCATCWTTGATCCTTTATATAATTTAATTTCCTTATTGCTCACTTATAAACTAAAATGTAGTGTTCTTTATATATAATGTTGTTTCTCTACATTAAATTACACTGCACTGTCCTGCCTTGATCAGCCGATGCTATTTGCAGGACTTAGCTAAATTTSTAATTGAAATAGTTTGTATCAGTTTAATAAAATTTATAAGATTTACAATTTAYTAGACCACTCGCTTTCGTTGCGACTACAAAGTGAAATAGTCCAATTGCCAGTACAGCCAAGTAAAGCTTCATGAGCTATCAACTCATACATTGTGGTTGGATACTCCACCTGGATGTTTAGTTGTTAAACATTCATACATGATGKGAACAGTTTATTTATTCTTGTCAAGATGCAAAGCAGTGTTAAAAAAAGTCCACACCTAAAATTTAAAAAATGTAGCCCCCACTGTGACTCCTCCCTTGGCAAAAGTTATGCCYCCTCCCCTTTATACTAATGGACTATTGAATCACATCATTTAGAAGACGAATGGGCATATGCCATTGTAAGCATGAACGTTTGAGTGATTTTGTGAACAGACAACATTTAACTATATTTGAAACTCAGGATACCATTTTGTAAATCAGATGTGTGTATCTTAGATATTTAAAGATGCACATCAAAGAATTGATTCAGAAAAGTTGTCCTTCATTTAGCAACCAAATRTGCGGTAATCTTACCATAATTAGAAGTATACGTTTGGACTTGTTTTTCTCAGTTTTTAAAGCATGAAATGATATGAAACTTGCAGTTATTATAGTGAAAACACCTTTGAACAATTGGTCATTTTGTTTGTTTGGCTTTTGCTTGGCATGGATTTGCTAACCAAAAACTAAAGAACACAGGGATTCTGCACAAATAACATACAATTCTTTGGTATAATTGTCTTAATATTTCATTYCAGGAACACAAAGATGATGAAAGTCTTAAACCACTCCTAAAAGCTCAGGATCTATTGGGGTCATATCTTGTTGTCACGATTAACTACACAGACTTTTGTGACAACCTTAATGTTGCTTTTGGTAATGCTGACCTTATCTCACGGTTTGTAGATATGGTCGACAAAGTCAAAGATTGTACTCCATATCATGTCAAGTATATGGTGAGAAACTATTATAGTTTTATCCTAKGGGRGTAGGTTRGGGACTYCACTAATAGAGAGCAATTCATGCTMTATCARMCTTAAATTTTTATCAAATTCATTGATAATTCATAAAGTAAACACAATGGTAAATCATTGCTGTACCATATCTTTATATCTATTTTCTCAAAAATAATATTATGCTTTAGCTTATGCTGGAATTTGATAAGCAATATGAAAACAAAATCTTATACCTGATAAAACACACTCTCTCGTSTTTTAAACTATACATAAAGGTCTTTCACTCATTTTTGTAATGTTTAAAGTCCAACAATGAGG